CAATCAGCCCATGGGTGGTTTTGGACAGGACTTGCGATTCATAGTCGGGGTCTTGTCTGCGCGCGGTGGTGCTCTGCTGCGCTCAAAAATGAGAGAGAGAAGAAAGAGAGGGAGGACATGCGTGGGAGGTCAGTGCTTGCGGCTTTGCGGGAGGTCGGTGCGGTTCAGGCGGCGGGACGTCGGTGATTGGGGCTTTGTGGGAGGTCGGTGCGGTTCAGGCGGAGATGAGGCCAAAGGCCAGGACACTGGAGATGACGCTGGTTGGCTTGTCCAGCGCCCGAGGGACGCACGTCGCGTGCCGAGGTCGTGCTTTGCCGGAGAGAGGAGCGCGGCGAGGGAGGCACGTGAGACACGCCGCCGTCCGGGAGGGTGATAACGGCTGCCCTCGAATGATTACCAGCGCAAAACGTCTAGAACCACCTGAAATTTTTCTACATTGGTGGTGAGAACATGCGTTAATAGTTGGGCACTTCAGACGCCCCCTCGTAGATAGAGTCCTTTAGACGCCGCCTCGACAACGGGCTTCGCTACACCACCTACGCTGATCTCGATGCGTCACCATCCCTGGCTTCTAAGTGATTCAAGCTACCTCCTTCTAAGTGATATTATTTTCTGTTTTATCATTTCAATGTTCATCTTCTTTCCTTCTAAGTGATATTATCATTGCAATGTTACTATTGGTATCGTGCGCACTATTAAATCACTCATTGTTTGATGTTACAAATGTTGAAAGTGCAAAACCAAGTGGAATGACAGAGGACATGCTGATGAGTATTTGTTGTTCATATTATTGTTCAAATTGTTTACTCTCAAATTTTTAATATCATGTTCGATATTTCACACCTGAGCTACACAAATGATTTCTACAGCAAAGGGTTTTACACCCTGACTTTTTGAGCCTAAAAATCAGCTCAAACAGCTGCCCTATTTAAAAAAATATTTACTCCAAATCTTTGTATTTTGAGGGAATTCCAAATCTTTTTAGACGAGTAAATAGCATAAAACTACTACTTTATAGGCTAGGGTTCCAAAAAACTATCAGTTTTTAATTTTTCTCAGATAACTACCATACACGGGGTCGGTTGTTTCAAAAACCCAAAACGTTGAGTGCTTATCAATTGATCGTGATTATGACAGGTGGGACCCGCACATAAGAGAACCGTTTGTTTGACCGTTTGTTTGACTGTTACCTTACATGTAGGGCCCACATGTCAGTATCTATGTAAGTTTTAAAAAAAGCAATCATGTCCCTATATCTTTTTTGAAAAGCAATCGGGTCCCTGATGTTTTCTGAAAAAAGCAATCGGGTCCTTGATGTTTTCTGCAAAAAGCAATCAAGAACAGCGTCGGCAGCTCGCCCGCGGCCAGATCGCCGGCCAAGCGAAAGGCGGCGGCTCGGCCGTTGCGTTCCTCGTCGCGACGGCGGGCTTCTCTAGTCGGCCGACGGGCTAGGTGGAGGAGCTCCTAGCCATGGCGCGCGGCTGGTGGCGGCCCGAGCCCCTGGCCATGGCGCGGCTGGCGGCGCCCTTGCTCGTCGGCGCGCTCCTGGCCATGGCGCGCGACTGGTGGAGGCCTGAGCCACTGGCCATGGCACGGCTGGCGACGGCCTGAGCCCCTAGCCGTGGTGCGCGGCTCGCGATGGCCTGAGCCGGCCATGGGGAGCCGGCGTAGAGGCAGCCACTGGCCCGGCGGCGTCGTGCAGCACGGCTAGGCGGCGGGCGTAGAGAGGTAGGAGAGAAGGAGGTGAGGCGGGGCAACGGCCAGGGTTGAGCCCCGGTGAGCGCCGGCGGCGGGCGGCTCACCGGTCGGAGGAGGCGGAGCCGCGAGGTCTAGCTCGGGAGCAAGAGGAGCGCCAATGAATCCTGGTCTGAGAGCAGGGACCCGATTGCTTTTTGCAAAGAAAAACAGGGACCAGATTGCTTTCTTAAATTTGTGTGCAGGCCCACACCTAACGGCCAAACAAACGGTCAAACAATTAGAGCTCTTACGCATAGGGCCTACCTGTCATAATCACAATCAATTGATAAGCACTCAGCTTTTTGGGTTTTTTGAAACAGCCGACCCCTCGTTTGGTAGTTATCTGAGAAAATTAAAAACCGATAGTTTTTTGGAACCCTAACCTGTAAAGTAGTAGTTTTATGCTATTTACTCCTTTTTAGGCGGATCTAAAATGCAACATCAAGTGCTGCAAATATACATCACTTTGATTGCTGCCCTAATATTTGCTTCAAGCGGGAACCACGCAAGGCCACAAGAAAAGGTTAGATTGTGCACAAAACGTTGCTCCAATAGCTGCCCTATAACAGGGCACAAACAAAAGGACAACCGTTATGTATTTCAGGGCACCAATTTTAGAGCTACCGTTGGAGATGCAATAAGTTTGGTGTCTTAAAACCCACATTTTAATGCCCTAAATTTTACTCAAGCCACATTTTTGTGCTCTATTATTAATAGGGTGGCTATTGGACATGCTCGAAGAACGTCACTCCTCTCTCTAACTTTGAACCACACAAAAGTTCATAATTATCATCGTGTGCAATCTATAATAAAAACAATTTAAAATTTCTAAAATAAAAATGGACCCCCGCCCTCCCATGTATATGTATGATAGCACAGTATGAACGCCGCAATTTTCACAAAATACATGTTGACTAGTCCTGATGCCCAAGAAAAATTCAAAGGTTCTCTTGGAAAGAAAACTCTCCCCTCTCCCGTGTCGCCCCTTTGAGGCGACCAAGAGGCTCTCAGCCATAGTGTCATCATCTCCCGGCCTAAAAGTACTCTACTGTCGGCATTTCCGTCGGTCTTTACCACGGTGGCAGCGCTCCCCGTTTCCCTAAGGCCTTGTTCGGTTTGGGAAGGTTTAAAGAGGTTTGAAAGGGATTGAAGGGGATTAAATCCCTTGCAAGTCAAAATCCTTCATAAACCTCCCCAATCCCCTTCAATCCCTATGGCAAGGGGATTAACCGAACATGGCCTAAGGGGTGGGGGGTCCCGGCCGGTCCAATGCTCTCGGGTTCGGCCAGCTCCTCTGTTTCGCCTCAGGTAAGTGTCTAGATGCACTTGGCTGGGAGGCAATGTATGGCACGATGACTTGCGGCCTCAAATCTGGTCAGAGCATGTACGGATATGGCATAGGTAAGGCGTAGGTGCTGGCCATACATGGCTTCTGTGTGGTGCTGTTAGCGGCTTTCTTGGGTCGAGATCACTGGGATATGGATGGAGATGGCTGATGGTCTTTGTCGGCCTCGGTGCTGGTGGTTGGTATGCTGGGTGCATATGAGTGTGGCGAGCAGGGGTGAAGACCTTGTCTCTAACATGGGCTGAAACTAGCAATGGTGACACATGCGGGCGTCGTTGACCTTATTGGAGGCGTCGTTGGCATGCTATATACCCATCCTTCCCCGCC